ATATACATATACATATACATATACATATACATATACATATACATATACATATACATATACATATACATATACATATACATATACATATACATATACATACATACATGAAAGATGTAGATATATGTATAGAAAATATAAATATATCTTCCAGAGATAGATAGATGATAGGAAGAAGATGCAGTTGTTCCCAAATGTTGCAAACTAGTTTTTTCCCCCCAATTTTTGCACAGCCCTTATGAGTACTGGAAACTGACAAGGTGTGGGCTTTAGTGAAAAGCAGCTCTTTATTTTAATTCTAACTTTTACATTGATTTCAGGATAAAAACATAGCCTTTCTATTTTGCTTTCCTAAGCTGTTTTTTTCCTGGACTGTGTTGTCAACAATGTGAGTTATTTGCTATTAATCCCTTACTGGTGTTTTAGTGCCTACTTTTTAAAGTTAGATAATAGGTAGAGAGTGAATAAAGAATAGAACCATGCAATAGAAATGGCAGAAATATGTTATATTAATACTGGTTTTTATTATCTGTAATTTGCAGTAATCATAGATGGTACATTGCATATTTTTCCTGTTAAGTGTGCAGGGATAATGGTAACAAGAATGATGGATTGCTTCAGATTTAAACTCTGTATGTTTTCTATAGATTTTAACTAAGGATTTTAAACTGTTCTTCTAATTAGACTTTTTGTACACATTTGCAGACAGCTAGGATTAGATTTGGTTCCAAGAAAGGAATATGCAATGGTGGATCCAGAGGAAATCAGTATTACAGAGTTGTACCGATTGGTAAGCAAATAACTCATTTTATTTATGGGTGAATGCTGCTGTGTTGTAAACCCCCCCCCCCTTCCTCTCTCTTGTTATGCAGAAGGAAAGTCATTAAATCTATCCTGAGGTTTCTGGGAAAGAATGCTAAAAATGTAATGAATATGTGAAAAAGTTACTTTTGTGTTTATCTTAAATAATGATTGGCTAATGAATCAAGAAACAAGATGTTGTCTAGTATTGTCTCACAAGAAACAGATGAACAAATGTTTGATTTAAACAATCACAAGTGTTTGACAAAAACATTTAAATCAAATGTTTGATTTAAACAATCACAAGTGTTTGACAAAAATAAAGTGGTGAGCAAGAAAATGCCTTTCTGTATGTTTATATTTCATGAATTAAAATAAGCAAAACTGGTTTGACCTTTGTGTGGTAATCTATACTTAGATGGAGCATCGTCATCGCAAAAAAGACACACCTATCCCAGCAAGCAGCCACCATCTCTTTCTGCAGATGAAGAGTTTGATGTGTTCCAATCTAGAAGAAGAACTAGAAGTTATCTTCTCACTTTTTGATAGTAAAGAGAATCGACCAATCAGGTAGCACCTCTTTTTTAATGAAGAATGAAGAAATATACAGCTTCAACAGTTCTTTCATTTACCTGGATAACAAAGTCATTTTGACTTTTTAACATTGAAGTCCATAAATATAGTCCCACATGTATTTCATGTTGTTGCTATTGAACGCTTTTAATCTGGCTCTAAGTCACTGGATATGTGGGTTCAATTGATATGTGGATACAGAAAATTCTTACTCATTATACTGGAAACCACAAAAGTGTTAGCTAGTGGATCTAATAAACTAATAGAGTTCATAAAGATAGGGATGCTCCCATAGTGTGTTTAGCCATAATGTATTTTGTTTAATTTTTATTTAGAATGAGCACAATATTGCGACTTATAATAGACAATGGTTTGTGTCCTGGGATTCTAATAATGATGCATTAGTATTTTATCTTAAACAATGGTTAAAATTAACAATGGCTTAGTGTGATATATGATTTCAACTATCATGGATAGAGAAACCTAGTATAATTGTAAATTTTCCTTTAGCTCACACTATAGTTTCTATGGAACATATTTTCGCTGTAAATAAAATGGTTACATACCATGAAATCTGATTAAATATTATCAATGCTATTACCAACAATAATGCACATTTTTTCTTCCTACGTTCACATGATTGTTTCCATTGTGACTCATGTCTTTTTGATTATTTTCTAGAAAGTGTCATATTTTTTTAAAAAAAATAATGAATGGTAAGGAAATAAAGTAGAGAAGCAATTTTGAGTAGTGTCAGACAGACATTATAGTTTTTATACTATAGGTTAGTGTACACTAGTTTTACACTAGTTTTTATAAATTCTGGAATAATAGCAACCGCAAGGATGAAAGTGGCTAATAATAGGCCATAAATGGAAGGCTATTACAATGTTATATACATTTGGGTATGTGAAATTCCCCAAAACAAGTTAAGTTAATTTATATTAAGAACCAATGAATCTGGGTCCTAGAAAACATATTGTAGGATGCAGTCACACAAAATATAGACTTGGCTAGCCTTTCCTTGCCCATCTCCTTTCCTTTTGGCTACTATGACTCATCCTTCGATCCTTCCAAGGTCGGTAAAATGAGGACCCAGATTGTTGGGGGCAATATGCCGACTCTGTAGTCCACTTAGAGTGGGCTATAAAGTACTGTGAAGTGTTATATAAGTCTGTGCTATTGTTATACCTTCACTTTTACAGACAGTGGAGGGACAGCAGCACATTTGGAAGACTCACATGGCTAGTTAGAAAGCTGTGTTTAACTGTCTCAGCTATGGAAAACCACTTTATTTTTTCCCTGGAAAAAATACACTTTTGCTTTATTGCAAAAAGCAAAAATATTTGTTAGTTCAAGGAAGTTCTGGTTCGTCCTTATTATGCATTGGCCTAATGACATCTAAAGCTTTGTGTCCACTTCTGGATTTTACAATTTAAGTGGGATCCTGACAAACTAGAGCATATCCAGAGATAATGGTCTTGGAAAGAAAAACTTAAAAATAACAGTAAGAACTGTTCAACTGTAGCACAGAGGTTGCAGATTCTCCTTCTCTGGAGACATTTAAACAGAGGTAGGATGTTTGTCTATGGAGATGCTGTAGCAGTAGATTCCTGTACTGGACGGTGTACATAATAGGACTGGGTGATATCTAAATTGCTTCCAACCAAGTCTGTGATTGATCTGAACGCTTTGCATGATCTTATTTGATACTATGAAATGTAACATAACATAATAACTTTTTACTTATTGCCAAGTTATAATTTTTCTCAGAGTTGTAAAGCAGTTATTAACTTTGCATTGCATGTAATGGTTATAAGAGAAAAGATGCAGATTATTTGCTGCATGATGCACAGGTTATTTCCTAATGGAAGGTACTCCACAATGTTTTCCTGTGTGAGGTCCTGCCTCGCCAGCATTCTCAAGAAAGAAGAATTCTTGAAACAAATGGCATTTCAAAAGGAACTTTTATTGGAAGACAGTCATAGCAGAGAGTGTGTGAGCAGAATCTGAATTTTACGTGCTGGAGCGTTAAGTTAAACTCCTCCTTTTGAGGCCCCTCCCAGTTGTCCATCAATGTCCAATGTCCATCTTTGAATCAATCCAAAGGTGCGAAAATGCTGTGAGAACTTTGGGCTGAGAAGGTGATAACAGGCAGTTCCTAGGCACCATGATCTCGCCCAAGGAACATTCTTTCCCCACTCCCAACACCCCAAAGATACAAGCACAGAAAAGGAACAAAGGAAAATCCCATGAAACACAGGTAGGTTGCTCTCGGTTCGGACCAGTTCAAGTGAACCGGTAGTGGTATTTAGGCCTGGTGGTGAGATTTGCAGAATTCTTTTCTTTTCTTGTCCGCCGTCCGCCCCCCCCCCAAAATTAAGGTGCGTCTTATACTCCAAAAATATGGAGTATATTTTCATGTAATACAAATATAGAAAAATAAACTGTTGTCTTAACCTGGAGACTTTTGCTTTGCTTTATTAACCATTAGTGAAACTATACTGAGGCAGTTAAACCACAGATTGCTAAGAGACTCAATTGTAGTTTTTTCAGATAAGACGGATTCTTTAATCAAAGCAATATTGATCTTTTAAAATCCAATCTTAAACACATTTCCCTTATCTAAATGTTCAGGATTCCCACAGGAAGCAAAGTCAAAATAACATCACCATGGTGATGTTAAGGTCACAGATTGTAGAATGGTTTGGTGTTAGAATTATATCCATAATCTACTTCTTACTATTCAGTATAGATAGTACTTGAGTTACAAATGCAATGGAGCCTGTCCATTCCATTTGTAACCAGAGGATTAATGGGAGTTAATCTTGTACCTTGAATGGGATCATTCCCTCCTTTTGCCCATGCATTTACATCAAATGTGAGGCTCGTTAAGTGCACATGAGATATTTCAGAATAGAGAAGGCCATGGGGGGCCTAGTGATGGAACAGGACACCTGCCTAAGACCCCCCAAGGCCTCCCCGACTCACTGAAATACTTCATGCTCCCCACAATTGTGTTCCAGTCTACCCCAACGCTGGGTCACTTACCTTTTGAAGATCTAGCAAACAGTTGCCTGTCAGCTGCATGCGCCCCTCTGACACTCTGTTCAGGCCTCCAGAGGCCTTGCCTGGCATGTTGCTGGCCAAAATGGAGCTTTTGAGGGGCAGATCCGACGCTCCGTTTGGGCCTTCGCAGGCCTCCCTGGTCCATTGCAAGCTGAAATATAGCTTAAAGTTTATTCAAATAAATGAATAAAAATTATTGTTAAAAGACAAATAATAAAATATTATTTTATATAGCAAGGAGGTTTACTATAACGAAATTAATTTGCCTTCTACATGGGTAAAGCTTGCCTCGCTAACCTTCTCAACATTTGTAAGGACAAATGACTCAGTAAATACTGTATACCATTGTATCTGTGGATTTTAAAATATCTTTGGCGAGATTCGAGCCAACGTCGCGATGAGACAACATGCGGTCTCGATTGTCTGAGACCGCCATTGATTCTTTTATTGTTACATGGTCCCAATGAACCTAAGCCGTCCCGTAGAGACGGTGACAGGGAGACAAAGCCTTGCTTGTCTCAGGGACATCGCAAAGTCCCTGATTGACCCAAGGGAAGCTCTCCAAGTTAGCGATAAACAGACAGCCCCGTGCTGATGAAGTCGGAGACAGCTCCGGAAAGAAGGCAGTGAAAGTGAGTCCATCTGGTGAGATTTTTTCTTTGAGAATGATTGCCCAAAGGAATTCTTTTGTTTAAAGATAAATTACTCCCTTAAGCAAAGAACAAAGCGGTGCAATTTATCTTTATTGGACTGCCTTAGAAAGTTTTTTTCCCCCTTTTTCTTCTTTGTAACAATGTTTTGTGGATTGAAGTGATTGTAACATTTGCTGTTTCTCTTCGCAAGTGAACGAGCTGGTTTTTTTTGTCTTCCTATTTTTAGCTGCCTTATTTAGGTTTAGGTTTAGGTTTAG